GTAGCTTTGCGCGAAATTCAAAAACAAAACAAAACAAAAAACAAACACCATCGTCAGAGAGATTTAAGAAATTAGTTTATTGCCTGGTTATTTGGCTGACTTCAACTTATAAAGATAACGAAAATGCGGGCCTTATCCACCTTCGATTTTTTTGCTCTCTTTTGATAATGATTACTGGCATGTTTTATCGAACATATTATGAATGATTAAAAAATGAGATATTTGATAATTATTAATGCAAGCTGGCTATGTGTGTTAGAAACGTTTGACATTTTCCATCCTCAGGTTACTCATCCATCCCGCATGTATAAAACAAAATCAAATTTTTAAGTTGAGTAATTAATATGTAACATATGCTAAACGTATGTGTACAAGTAAAACAAACCTTTAAATATTGTAGTGATGACAAGAGTTTCGAATTAATTTCTTAATAGGACGCCCCCCTCCCCTTTTTTGTGGATCAGTGATAAGTATGAGGGCATAATGCTACAAATTGGATTTCGATACCCGCGGTGGGCAACGCACGTATCATCCACTGAGTAGCTTTGTGCTTAACAACAAATATACAAACGGTTTGTAAACTTTGACTTTTAACAGATAAAATACAACAACTTTACGTTACTCCAAAACATTTCACCTGAAGACACACCACATCAGGAATACAATCTACACACAGTAACACCACATCAGGAATACAATCTACACACAGTAACATTTGTCTTGTCTTCAGGTGAAATGTTTTGGAGTAACGTAAAGTTGTTGTATTTTATCTGTTAAAAGTCAAAGTTTACATTCAAGTGATTATCCCAGTTATCTAGTTATTCTAATTACTTTAGAACAATATTACCAATATTTCAGTTTGATAGCTACGTTATTTACTGGATTACTTTTTAATTCTGATGTAAGTAAGTAGCTTACTTTGATTGGTTGTTATTAATAATCAAGAACACCCTTTAAGGTTTAGCAGAAAAGTGGACAATCGAACTACTACTAAAAGTAAATTATATTTTTTTTATTCCAAACCTGAAAACTTTTCGTCCCCAGTCATCTTTCTCAATAAAAGTTTAGCCGGTATTTTCCAGTGAAATCGGATAATTACATTTTCACGTAGAACTCTCGTTCAAAACTTAAAATATTTAATTGGTTATCGTGAAGAAGTAAATACGTATTAGTAGGTTCTAGTTTTTACGATTTTTTCCCTATAAATCTCCAAGTTACCGACTATTTTCATTGTGAATTGTTTCACAGGAGCAAAATGATAAAAAGTCATCCCAGGTAACTAGGGTTACGTGACAATCAATCTTCGGATATTGTCAGTTATCTATTTACATTCGCTATATCAATCCAAAGATTTTAAACCATTTTCCCGATCATGCGCAAGTTGATAATAAAAACAACCATAAAATCATGTCTAGTAAATTTATTTTCTATCTATCACTTAAATTATAACGTTTTCCAATTCCCTAAATATGAAATAAACATTTTTGTCGAATACTAAATATTAATACATTTCCTGAAGTTTCTTTTTCGTCCAGGAGTAAAATAAAAAAAATACATATAATATTATAGTTTTAACCAGGACTATACTAACTCTCACTCTTGTGACGTAAATTATATCATAACAACGTCGGCCTAAACACTATCCTATACACACGGTTAACACAAAGCCTAAAAATAGGCCTAAGTAGTGACAATGCCTGAATAACTTATTATACGTGTAGCGATTCACAATATATTTACCCCCTGATTTTCTAATAACGTTTTCTTTGTTTAAAGGTTATCTTATAATGCCATAATACCTGCCAGGTAAGAGATAATTCTTATTTTCAAGCCATCTTCACTTTCTCACTTTGAAAATTTTGGAATCAAATCATTACGTACATTCTTAAACCTTATGAAACAACAACATTGCGAAACAATGTACAACAATATATTTTAAAACGTATCACAAGAACATAATAATCTGTGATTGTTACTACAGAACAGAATAACACCATCTGACGGAATATTTCTCTATATTTAATTAACGGTAGAAATCATGAGTAAACGGTATCTGTAATCAACGGTAATAGGCGCAATATTTGTGAAAATAATCATGTAAACTGTAGATTCCCCACCTCTTACATTCCTTTTAATTTATACATTTCAGACAGAAAATCAGAGAAGTGTAAAAATAACATTTCATAGGTATCTTTTATCTCCCACAAGTCAGTTGCACTAGATAATGAGAAACAAGACATTCTTTGAAACGCTATTTATAAATGAAGTATAGTGATTTAAAAGTTACAATTAAAAACACGACTTGCTCAAGCACAAAATAGTAACTATTTGTCGGAATATTTCTGTACATTTAATTAAAGAAATGATACAACCATTGGTTCAACATTGAAACTCTGAGTGTAATTCTTTTGTTTCACTTGTAAGTAGAAAAGACGTCCAAAATTCGATGACGAGGAACCCAAGATTCTAGGTCCAAACAAACCGAATATCTAAAAATTTTGTAACAAACAATCCGAATATATGAAGGTCATGTAACAAACAACTCCAATATTTAAAGGTTATGTAAGAAACAAACCGAATATCTGAAGGTTATGCAACAAACAAACCGAATATCTGAAGGTTATGCAACAAACAAACCGAATATCTGAAGGTTATGCAACAAACAAACCGAATATCTGAAGGTTATGTAAGAAACAAACCGAATATCTAAAGGTTATGTAACAAACAAACCCAATATCTAAAGATTATGTAAGAAACAAACTGAATATCTGAAGGTTATGCAACAAATAAACCCAATATCTGAAGGTTATGTAAGAAACAAACCGAATATCTGAAGGCCATGTAACAAACAACTCCAATATCTGAAGATCATGTAACAAACAAACCGAATATTTAAAGGTTATGCAACAAACAAACCGAATATCTGAAGGTTATGTAACAAATAAACCGAATATCTGAAGGCCATGCAACCCCGATGATTCACACGTTTAGGTAATTTGTTATTCGTCATATTCGATATCTTATCCATTCAAGATACGTTAGACGTTGTTCAAAGCACCAGACTGTAGAATATCAAATCAAAATACCCAATATTAAAACATTTTTTGTGAATTTTTCTATTTTATGTCTACTTCTGGTGAAGTAGGGATGTGAATGTTCCAGTACAGAATCTTACACAACTCCTGATTGGTTGGAAACTGATGTCGTGGCGGGATTCAGAATATGGCAATTACTGTTTCTCAGCATTGGAGGACTTATTATTCTAGGTAAGCTTTAGAACTACAACAATTGTTATGGTGTGAACACATTTTTCAAGCTGGCGAAGCATGATTATAATTAAATATACTTGTCATCAGACATCAATATCATGTTTTTTAACATTGCATTCTTTACCTAGTCCCTTAGAGATTTTGAAGACATAGAAGAAAGTATATTAACAGTATTCCAACCACACTATGTACACCTTATCCATTGGTGACGACGCGTTTCGCTCACTCCAGAGCTCATCAGCCGGCTGGGACTCAACAAACACAGTAGTGATGGAAACAATATTTATATAAAACATTTGTTATGGTGTGAACGCCTTTTCCAAGTTGGCGAACCATGATAATAATTAATTATACTCATCGTAAGAGATATTAGTATTAGATCTATTATATTTTTAACACTGTATTCGTTAAACTTATTCCTTATGGACTTTAAAAGAACAAGAAGGTGTATGATAATAGTATGCAAATCTCGCCATCTTTATTTTTTTCTCTCTTAAGAACATAACTCAAAATAAACAATTAAATAAGTACACAACGTAAGATATTAATGACGACGAACATGGTGGTTAGGACGAGAAATACTGTATCCAGATGAATTAAACGTTTCGAACTATCTTTATTCCATCATGAACTATGTCCAAAAACAAGCCCCAGCTAGCTAAACGGTGAGTCTGCTGTCTTACAGAGCAAAGATAGCCCATTTGGCTTAATAACGAACAAAACCAACTGAAAATAAGGTGCAGTAAGATATTATGATACAAGTGAAACCCGAATGATATATGTGATCTCAAAGATTAGAAAATATTGAGGGGAAATGAGCAGTAAAATAAGCACGTGTAAATCATGACGTAAATTATAGCCAACAATTAAATCATTAACAATACTAAGAAATTAATAATAAAACAAACACGGTTATAGAGAAAGTAACATAAACTGGAAATATAATAGTAATACACTTTTTTGTTGTTGTTGTTTTGTTATTAAGCACAAGGTCTTACATTGGACTCTCTGTGCTTATCATTAACTACCAATTAACTAATTAAATACTTTTAGTTGGAAGGATATCTGAAGATTCGGATCAGGGTGGTGTTTTACAGCTAGAACAGTTTTAGTTGGAAGAATATCTGTAGATTTGGATCAGAGGGTTTTTTTACAATCAAACAGTTTTAGTTGGAAGGATGTCTGTAGATTCGGATCAGGGTGGTGTTTTACAATTAGAACAGTTTTAGTTGGAAGGATGTCTGTAGATTCGGATCAGGGTGGTGTTTTTACAATTAGAACAGTTTTAGTTGGAAGGATGTCTGTAGATTCGGATCAGGGTATTGTTTTAGAATTAGAACAGTTTTAGTTGGAAGTATGTCTGTAGATTCGGATCAGTGTGGTGTTTTAGAATTAGAACAGTTTTAGTTGGAAGGATATCTGTAGATTCGGATCAGGGTTGTGTTTTACAATTAGAACAGTTTTAGTTGGAAGGATGTCTGTAGATTCGGATCAGGGTGGTGTTTTACAATTAGAACAGTTTTAGTTGGAAAGATGTCTGTAGATTCGGATCAGGGTAGTGTTCTACAGTCAGAATAGTTTTAATTGGAAGGATGTCTATAGGTTCGGATCAGGATGATGTTCTACAGTTACAAAGCTTTATTTAATGAGAAGTTCAAGGTCTGTAGATCCAGTTGTAACGATGATGATTATGGCCACTACACATATTCATGATCTGGCCCTTGTATTGAAATAAGTTTTCACATTGCCTGAACTTAAAAGGGCAATGAAACATTAGGTACTTTTGTCGATTTATTGTCCATAAAAGTGATTAAAATTACATTTCTTCTTAGTCTTAATGTGAAAGGAACAAATAAATACTTTTAATAATTTATACAAACCGTGGTTGTGACTAACGGTAAAACTGTGTTTTATATATACATATTTATTTTTTGTTTGATCCGTTCCACCCGAAGTGCATTACGTTATTATTATTCTTTACACCGTTGTAGCACACATCTGCAGCACAGTATGATCAACTGATTAGTTTTAACATAGTAACAATGGATACAAATATTGAAAAACGTTTTCAATGTCATTAGTTTTAAACATTTTTTGTGTTTGTTTTAGTTTCTACTTCACTGGTTTATTGTCATCATTTTTCGTTTTGGCAGATTTATTTTTTGTTTTCATTAACTAAGTAGAGGTAGAGGTACGTTATTTTTAGTTAATTTTTAACTGTTGTTAAAATGATAATATATTCCGCACTTCTTTTTTTTGGGGGGGGGGGGGACTCGAACTCTAATACCATCAATGTATAGCACTGGTTTGTAATCAGGCTGGTAGTCAGTAGTACCGACCATGTATAAAACTTTGATGAATTAATAAATGCAGAATATATATATATATATATAAGGTATGTTATATATGATTTTAAAATGTTTTTCCCTACAAAATGTTTCATAATATTACTATGTGTAAATAATACAGATACACTAGTAACCTCAATCACTGGTTTTCTATTTGGAATTTCTTTAGCTCCAGGGACAGATCGCTGATTGGTTAACGAAGTCTTGTTATCTCTCACACTAACAGTAAACTATCTTTAGCTTCAGGGACAGATCGGTGATTGGTTAACGAAGTCTTGTTATCTCTCACACTAACAGTAAACTATCTTTAGCTTCAGGGACAGATCGGTGTTTGGTTAATGGGGTTTTATGACTGTAAGGTAATAAAGTAGAGGACTCATAATAGTTCATGCTTTGATACAAAAGAAAGCTGGAATAGAAAGAGTGACGTTAGAGGAGAGAAAAGAAGGAGGAGTCAGGCCATGTTAGATCAATACTTCAATATACGTAATCATCAAAGTAGTTACGTCACTCGTACTCTAATCTGATTGGATATTTGTGTTAATGCATTTCGCTATGTAAACGCATTGCTATATTTTCTGAATCTACAAGCAGCATGACTATTTAAGTTAGTAATGTTTGTATGTGTCAGTTATTGCTATACAGTTCAAAGTACGTCTATAATAACGTTATACTTTAAGGTTTAATAAGGTAAACTCTAGGACTACTTCACGTGCATATAGCCTATGTCTATCTTAAACTACTTAAATCTGAAGTTATTAAGTGTGTGAACACAATATCAAGAGCTTCAAGTGGCTCGGCTATGAGTTTGAAAACTTATAACGCTAAAAACCGAGTTTCGATACCTGTTTGGCACAACACAGATAACCCATTGTATAGCTTTGTGCTTAATAATTAACAATAGTAGTTTTTACTATGTAATATAACCATTTTTCAAAAGGTTAAATCTAGGTTATGTTCTTTAATATCTAATTGCTGACGGCTTGGTGGCTAGAGAATTCGATTCGCAATCGCAGTCAGTTCCAATTTTCGTTGGTAAAGAGTAGCCCAAGAATTGGCAGTGGGTGATGCTGACTAGCCGTTTTCCCTCTATTATATACCCCTTCAAAATTAGGGAGAGAATTCAACAAAACAAACACAACCCACTTCCAAGGTAACCATTATTGTTGTTTCACATCTTGTATATACTTTATTACACGTTATTTGAAGAATGAGACGTAAATATTATGTGACATGTTAAAACCATCTACGGTAACCAAGTACACAAGATGTTAAGCTGTGAGTGTGTTATAAGGGTAACAGTCAATACCTTATCATTAGCGTGGATGGTGGCTGCCTTCCCTCTGGTCAAGAGTTCAAAGTTAGAGACGGCGATAGATAACCTTAATCGCCTCGACATAAATACAAATATAAACGCTTCCAGAACTTGATAATATTTGTTGGTTGGTTTCAAAGACCTCCTAGTGGCTCAGAGATATGTCTGAGGGTTTATAATGCTAAGAATCGGGTTTCTATACCCTCGGTGAGCACAGCACAGATAGCCCATTTGGCAGTCTTGTGATTAATAACAAAGAAACAAAATATTGTTACGAATATTTCGCCAAAAGCTACACGAGAGCTATTAGCTCATAACCATCCCTAATTTTGAAGACAATTGTCAACACCATCCACTGTTGGTTACTATAAACGAATAATGGGGTTTGACTGTCACTCTCATAACTCACCCAGTGCTCCAAAGCACGATTATTTTTTTTTTTGCGGTAACGGGGCGCGAACCACAGATCCACTGTCTCATACGCTAACCATTGAACCACTGTTCATCTATAATATAGGAGAATCGACAACCACGTGACATATTTGATTATGATTTGTGTACACCCTTGGCCATCAGGCACCACAGTACGAAATACAAAACAACTAACTGAAAAACTGAATAATTTTGTTTTATTGTATTCCATTATTTTCACTATTGTTTGTCATGTATAACTCAAATTCAAACTCAGAATTATTTGTTACAGATAAAATCTTTTCTTAACATTTAGATGCCACTTGTTAAAATGTAAAATCGAAAATACTCTGAAATGAAACAAACTCAATAAATGACTGTAAAGTATCATAACTAACAAAGATTTCAACGCGCAACTATTTTTAAATAGTCTTAACTTTAGTTGAAGTTTGTAGCTATTGTTAGTCTTAACTTTAGTTGAGAGTTATAGCTATTGTTATTATTAACTTTAGTTGAGACTTGTAACTATTGTTATTATTAACTTTAGTTGAGACTTGTAGCTATTGTTAGTCTTAGCTTTAGTTGAGATTTGTAGCTATTGTTAGTCTTAACTTTAGTTGAAGCTTGTAGCTATTGTTAGTCTTAACTTTAGTTGAGAGTTATAGCTATTGTTATTATTAACTTTAGTTGATACTTGTAGCTATTGTTAGTCTTAGCCTTAGTTGAGATTTGTAGCTATTGTTAGTCTTAACTTTAGTTGAAGCTCGTAGCTGTTGTTAGTCTTAGCCTTAGTTGAGAGTTATAGCTACTGTTAGTCTTAACTTTAGTTGAGAGTTATAGCTATTGTTATTATTAACTTTAGTTGAGACTTGTAGCTATTGTTAGTCTTAGCCTTAGTTGAGAGTTGTAGCTATTGTAAGTCTTAACTTTAGTTGCAGCTTGTAGCTATTGTTAGTCTTAACCTTAGTTGAGAGTTGTAGCTATTATTAAACTTAGTTTTAGCTTCAAATAGTGGCTATTGTTAGTCTTAATTTTAGCTTCGTCTTGTATCTCGTGTTTAATTTTTGTTGGGACGTGTAGCTCCTGTTAAATAGGCTTAGATAAATCAGAAAGTGTATTGTAATTTATTCATAATATAAGTCAAATACAGCAATAATAATGAAAGTTATACTTGAGTATATCTAGACTCCTATGATTTGCAGAATTGGGGAAAAATAGAACAATTGTACGTTTCAAAAAAAAGATACTATTAAATGTTTAAAAATAGAAGATTGATTTGGTTGGATGATGGTAAATCAAAGGCCCACTAACTGTCTGACCACAAGAACACAAAGAAGTTTCACACTCATGGTTAAAAAACTTATTGTACCCTTATATAGCTCAGTGGATAGAACATTAGCCCTGTTAGCCAAAAGTGCTCAGAGTTTCTTATCAATCTTCTCATTTCAAATAACGTTTGTTAAGAAAGCGCGCTTTTATTAATCCAAAATATTAATTAAGGCTTAAATTCAGCTGCTGTTAAATACTTTGAGTTGCAGCTGCAAAACGTTCCATCAAAACACTGGATCATTTCTAGGCAATTGTGGGAATGACTTTTGTTGATTCAGCACGATGAAGTGAAGAAGGTCAACATACATACATGATAACGATTCAAGTGTAAGGCACGCAATGACCAGCGTCGAAAGGAATTTCTGGTGTACGTTGTAACTATTGTAAAAAATAAAATAACTTCTGTACACATACGTTGCACATCTGCATGTATTAACAATATCAAACTGGCTGATGTTTGAACCATTTTGGCGTCCGAGAATTTAGAGAGATCTGTGTCCTCTTAAAAGTCAAAGTCTGTTATCGTGATCTTTGTTATTCTTCGCAAACAACGCCAAACGTGCTTATTGAAATAACTCACTGTAAGCTTTTCTGTCAAACGTTTCGTCTGGACAAAGAAAATAAAATACTATAAAATGTCTAAAAATAGAGGAACATTTCCTGGCTAGAGGATAACCGACAGGAAGATAAGAGGGTACAAGAACACAGAATACAGGACAAATCGAACTGGAGAAACTTCCTGGTTAGAGGATAACCAACGGGAACATAAGAGGGTACAAGAACACAGAATACAGGACAAATCGAACTGTAGAAACTTCCTGGTTAGAGGATAACCGACAGGAAGATAAGAGGGTGCAAGAACACAGAATACAGGACAAATCGAACTGTAGAAACTTCCTGGTTAGAGGATAACCAACAGGAAGATAAGAGGGTACAAGAACATAGAATACAGGACAAATCGAACTGGAGAAACTTCCTTGTTAGAGGATAACCGACAGGAAGATAATAGGGTACAAGAACACAGAATACAGGACAAATCGAACTGAAGAAACCTCCTTGTTAGAGGATAACCAACGGGAACATAAGAGGGTACAAGAACACAGAATACAGGACAAATCGAACTGTAGAAACTTCCTTGTTAGAGGATAACCAACAGGAAGATAAGAGGGTACAAGAACACAGACTACAGGACAAATCGAACTGGTGAAACTTCCTGGTTAGAGGATAACCAACAGGAAGATAATAGGGTACAAGAACATAGAATACAGGACAAATCGAACTGAAGAAACTTCCTGGTTAGAGGATAAACAGCAGGAAAGTGACAGAGCGCCAAAAATACCAAAACCTAAGATATTTGAAGTTGAAGAAACATTCTTGTTTGGAACTCATCAGGAACCTTCTTGGAAGTTTGTTTGTTCGAAACGATTTTATCTATTATTTTATTGTGTTTTTAATAATCATCACGACGTTGCTAAAATTGTTTCTTATTTCCTGTAAACCATGTCGAAAAATTAAACTATTCTAAAAGCAGGGGCGTGCACAAAGAAGGCAAACAGGGGGCTGGGACTCCTCTAATATGGTTTGTATATATATATATATATATATATGTGTGTGTGTGTAATATGCGTGTGATTACCCTCCCCCCCCTTCCAACAGCGATCAAATTTAAATTCCTATTTACGATTCTGTGTAAAAGGAAATATAATTTCACCAACAAACTAAACCTAACTTCAAATATTTGTATCTTATATTTATAGCAAAGCTACTAAGGATATGATTGAAAGCCTTATTTTGGTGAACCCCACATCCTTTCGCTTCCTTTCAGGATAGAGACCCTTTCTTATTATATTGCATACTGTTGCTTTGGTCACGTGAACGGATTTTTGTCACTGACGTTTCTGTTCATGAATTTTCACCTGTTACAAGACACTGTACTTTGCTTACCACAGCTGGGATACGACTTTTTACAGGTCTCTTTCTTGATGGTCCTGGTTATCCCAAGTTGATACAGGTTTCTTTGTTTTCTAATTTTAATAAATCTGTATGCTCTAAACATCTGAAAATTTTAAGTCGGAATGAGCTGTTACATACTTCCCCCAAAAGCGATCAGTTTTCGGTGGCATCACACTATCTAAGAAAAGACAAACCATCACACTATCTAAGAAAAGCCAAACAGTATTAAAATCTAGTTCTGATACACGCCATTTCACCGCGATTTTATATCTGCTGTGGTTGTCACGTGGCTTGTTGATTTTCTATTTCAATATTGTTTTTAATATATCGTATATTCAATTCTCTATATATCGTTAAGTTTTCCACTTCCTGTTCTAATAACAGAAATTATGGTGTTCAGAAAAATATATTAATTCTACATATTTAATAACTTATATTTTCATCCAGTCATACTATTATGCTGTGCCATCAAAATTCGAATACCACGTACAAAGCAGGAAATTGAGATAGACTATCAAAGAAAGCTGTTAACTCGCAGTTTTCGTGAACACCTGGACAGACTGGCCTTGGACGAAGTGAATTTCGTTACAGGTATGGTATACTCGTGCACAAGTTGGTAAAACAACAGTCTCATGTTAGTATATAATAAACAACAGTCTCTTGTCTAAATGTTGGTATATAATAAACAACAGTCTCATGTTAGTATATAATAAACAACAGTCTCGTGTCTAGATGTTGGTGTATAATAAACAACAGTCTCGTGTCTAGATGTTGGTATATAATAAACAACAGTCTCGTGTCTAGATGTTGATATATAATAAACAACAGTCTCGGGTCTAGATGTAGTGTAAAGGATGGTCTCGGGTCTAGATGTAGTCTAAAGGATGGTCTCTGGTCTAGATGTAGTGTAAAGGATGGTCTCGGGTCTAGATGTAGTCTAAAGGATGGTCTCGGGTCTAGATGTAGTGTAAAGGATGGTCTCGGGTCTAGATGTAGTGTAAAGGATGGTCTCTGGTTGAGATGTAGTGTAAAGGATG